GTAAACCTTGGTGAGTTGATCTAATCCTATTTGACAACTGTAATTACCATAGGTCAATACAGCAGTGCTTTCCAAATCCTTTCAACTACTGGCATATTTATAATATCCCAAACTATAATATCCCAAACTTTTGACACAAACCAAGAGGTTTTAAAATAATCACTTCTAATAAAGCAAGAAATAACATTCATCTCTAACTGAAAAACAGACTACAATGTGAACTTGACTTCATTCTTTTGACTGGGATTTCAGTGTGAAATGTGAGCCTGCATCTGTGAGCTGTTTAATATTTGGTTAAGTGCTGCGAAGAGCTACACAAAACTCCTGATGCACTTTTTTAAACATGCTCTCTCCTGATTCCCCAAGTCACCTGAGACCTTTCTACAGTTCCCAGGTTAGGAAGCCCTACAACACAGTATAGCAGTATAGCAGTTCCCAGCTCTGGTACTGGAGGAACAGAGGAACCTGTCCAGCTACGTTCTTACTCACAGCGTAATTGATTTCAGTTTTTTCAGGTGTATTTGTAAATGTGCTTTCTGCTCTCAAAAGTTCAGATGTGTTTTTTAATTGGTATCACAATGCACTTACCTTTCGAATTCCCATATGCTTGTTTCAAGCATTTTTTACCCTGTAAAAATGTTTGAGTTTCAGACCTACCCTCATTCAGGTGTGCTGTCTTGAGTGTGCCCTGATTTGACTTGTGCGGAAGGAATAAATGCTCACTGTGTCCGTTCATCATCAGTTAATCAACTGCTCAGAACAATGTGATCAGAAATAGTGGCTGGCAAGCTGAGGAGAGGCTGTGTACAATTCTGCAGGCTGAAGCTGTTGGAAAGAGTTAAATAACAGTTATATAAAAGTCTCAGAAAGCATGTAGATCAATTAAGTCATTAATTAGCACCGGATATGTAGGGCTAAGCTGAAAACCAGCAGACACAGTATTCCTTAAGATCCAGAGTTTGGGACCCAATACATTATAGCACAGTCTACGATCACACTTGGTCCTGTAGTAATTGCAATAATAAACTATAATAATTTAGTACCAGCGTATATAATACAGATTTGTGCAGGGTTAATTATGGCATTATGTAGTTTATCACGGAATGTATCAGTTTTATTATATAGCCCACATGGTGGCTGTTCTAGCAATTTTTCACATGAGAGGTTTATTACTCACCTCCCCTGATAGCTTTAATTTTGTGGCCCAAGGTCATGATAATCCCTTCATAATTCACTGTATCTCCCTGCCCATAAACTAATTAGGAAAAAGTTACGTTGCGGCATACAGTAATGTACTTGGCACAGTGTTGCAGCATTTCAGCAGATAACGTCTAAATCTCCTGTTGGAATAAGAGCTTGTTGGCCACAGCCAGGGCACTGCCAGCTGTGGAGCTGGAGAGAAAATGAGACAGCAGGCTTCTCTCTGCATCACAGGCAGCAAAAGAGTCCAAGGGCTGGGACTGTGCAGAATCATATTGAACTCAATAAATATTTCTGATTTCTAAGCCTTTTCTTTCACTGAATTAAAAGTCCCACTCAGATCTGAGGAAGTTCAGAAGACAGTCACACATTTCAGAATACAGATTCCATGCTTTAAGGACTGACAAGGGGAAGACATATACTGTTAGTGAGGCTATGTACATGTGCAGGATGCTACAATGTATTTAATGAAGATATCCATGTCCCCCAGCACCTACGTGGGCCTGAATACCACTGCATCCCAATAATCCGGGCCTATTCCTTGACTTTGAGCTGTGCCTTTCTTCTCATCCCATAACCTCGGCTGGAAGTTTGCAACTTTGAGTCGCTCACTGGAAGTTCATGTGATGTTGTTTGTCAGCTCCCAGTCATTTGTTTGTTGTGGGGTTTTTGTTTGAACGGTGATACAGTCATGATTGTTGTTTTACCAGTATTTTATTTTGCCTGTACAGCGTTACTCTTTGCAAAGTGCCGTGGGAAGGGGAAATGATGAAAGACGTCCACAACAGGCCGTAAGGCTGCTTTTAACCTGCATTTGCAACACACTGCAGGACTTTCAGAGCCTTTCGCTCAAGTGCGAGGACAACGGCTCTGCTCTTCTCAATTCCAAATACAGGCAAGACAATTTGCCAAATGACTGTGCGAAAGAAAAAAAATATTTTCCATATTAACAGAACTCTTTTTTGACTGTCTCACCTGGCTGACCAGGTAAAAACTAGACTTTGGAAGATGTACTACATAAGCATCAGATTCACCCCCCCCCCAAAAAAAAACTATTCCGTACTGATACATCTCCTGCGACTTCTGTTATACATCTTTCAACTAACTGAAGACAACGGGCTGCACTGAAATAAGGCAATTCAGGTTTATAAGTTTGTTTCCGTTTTATATATAGCTGTGAGACCTCTCTGTCTGATACTCATGCTAAGCTGTAACAATACCTTTCTCACACTGACGCGCAGGCATGCAAAGCAACAGCTGCCATTTGTGTCTTAGACTCAGAATAACCCAAAGAGTCAAGACAGCTGAAACGACAAAGGCGAGCTGAAGGGCATTGTCACACACGCAGGGAAAGAGCAGATCTCTTTAATCCATACCACCGCGCCCTCGACCCAGGATTAAGACACATTAAAAGTTAATAGCTGAACCGTTGACGTACTGTAGAGCAGTCAGGAAGAAAGGGGGATCGGACGTCTTTTCTAAATGTGTGCTGTGTGCTCTTTCTCCATTTGCTTGGAGGCGCGGGCCAAAAAAGAGGGCAGCTTATCAGTACATTATGAAAACCATACATCTCTCGCTGCCACCCACAGCATAAGACGAGAGATCGTAGCAATCAACAAGAGAGGGAATGCCATGTGGATTTTTTTTAGCAACATTATTTTGATCAGTTTACTGGCTCGGCGTGCTGGAAACCTGCCTCGGGGTCTGCTCTCCTGGCTGTTCCCTGCCGCCACTGCGAGCTCACAGCCCTCGGCTCGGCGGCCTGTGACACATTCTCCTGTTTCACGCAGAAAAATCCCCTCAGCAGGATTGCCAGCGCCTTTCCTTGGCAATCCAACGTGTTAAAATATAACTTGTGATCCTTTGTAAAAGAAAATAGCCTCGTCAGACATGACATAGATGTAGATAAAAATATTTCTCCATCTGCGTCTACAACCAGAAGCAGACGATGAAAAAGGAAAATAGAACTGGTACAGTTATGAACAATTTACTAAAGATCTATGGAATGATAAAATCCATTTTAGTTCCTTCATTATCATTCCATTTCCCAGTAATAATATTTCTGCTCCACGTGTTGCTTTTGCTGAGTTTTTATAAAGCTCTATTTTGTTTTCACCATAATTATCTTGACTAGATTATAAGAACACTTACCATTGTCACAATTTGTAATAACGATGTGAAACTATCCTGTGGAAAGCTATGTTTATGCATGCTCTGTACTGCAGTACATTGTACTTATATCTGTTCTCTGAGTTGGGCCCCACCTGACCCTTTCTCAGTTTAACCACTGTTATAGGGAGTAGCCTTTTCTCCCAGCACAGCTCAGCGCCTCTCCAGAGCAGAGGTTTGCTGATGGAAATGTTAGGGAGACGTCAAATGGCTGTAATTGTCAGGCCGACCAATTTGAGAACAAGGAAGCAAGGATTCAGCTGTTGTGAGGATGCCCACTGTTCAGACAGGGACGGCCACCCAGCTACAGTACACTTGTAATGACAAGGAAGCAATTCCTGGTCATTAGGAACCTTTGGCTTTGAAGTAGGGGGTGTACATCAGAAGCCTGGGGGTTGGGGGGTGTCTTTGCTGATGGAGGATGGGCTCAGAGGGGGCGCTAGGACAAGTTCCTCATGTTTCGGTGAAGACAACAGAACGACCAGCCTCCCCATCTCCACCAAACCCCCAGCTACAATCCCGCGACCCTGCCCCAGAGAACAGCCGCCCAGCCAGTGCCACAGCTCGGTTCCACTGACAAGAGCCTTGGGGAAGGATTCTGCATGAGAGCCAGCCAAATAACTGAAGTCTCCTCTTGGGGCACAGGGCGAGTGGCAGTGATGGAAGCTTCTATTATTAAACGGTCTTTTGTTCTGGCCATTTCTGTAGAGTGTCAGAGTATCAGAAATAGGCCTTCGGGGGTCTTGTGTTTCAAAGCCAGGCAAAATCTCAAGAGGGCACAAGCTGCCGGGCAGGGGGGTAACATCTGCAGCAGGTTGTGTTAGAGGTTTCTGGGCGCAAGGCCGGTTGTTTTGACAATTCATGTCTGGAGACAGTTGGAAAGGAACACCTTGACTTCTGCTTCCTACTATCTTTCAATCGCATTTTTCAATGGAAACCTGTACCAGCTGTAGGTATAAACCATAACTTACAAGCCCTAACTTATTTGCCATATTGCATGGCTGATTAGAAATCTAACAATGATTTATTATAAGTATGAATAGTGGCACAGGCACAGTTTCACATTTAAATACACTACAGTTCATCCATTTAAGTGCTCAGACTTTCCTGGACCTAATCGTGGTGTCTAGTTTGTGCCACAGAAACTTAAGCAGGGGATTTTGAAGGTAATTTGAATATAAACAATGAGAAAGTCCTGTAATATCTTCCATTCTGCTTCAGCATTTCTTCCTTGCAGAGATAGCATATTCACATCAACCCAGACTATTGCGCTCAGTGCTGGTGTATATCTTTATAAGACACAAGAGTGGGAGCTTTGAATTCCTCTGCTGCTTTTGGGAGGTCTGCCGGGGCAGCTGTCAGTCAGCCTCGTGCGTGTGGAGCAGGTTTCTGACCAGGGAAGGGAAGAGATGCACATCCATCTCGGGGAGAGCGTGCCATTTCCTTAACCTCCAGGCCCTCGCTGTGCCAGCAGACATCGTCAGAGCACACTGCTGTCATTCGAAACCACTGTTATTCCAGGCCCTGGGACAATGCAGCGGGGTGAGGGGTGGGACATAGCTTTTACCTGTCACTGCCTAAACAAGGCAACGTTTATTTATAACGTGGGGTGCAGGGGTGGCGCGGGGGTATATAATTCTGCCCCACCCGGAGGCCTGATTGTTAAGCAGCAGCTGGGAGCCTCTCTTTAGTCCTGCCCATCTCCAGCTTCAGCCATGGTGAGTGCACTGCGCAAGAACTCTGCATTGACGATGAGTGGCAAGTTTGCACCCACACGTAAAGAGCTCTGATCCTGCAAGGCGAATCGGGAACTGCTAGCATTGCTGGATGCTTCCACTGGGGATCACGTCACCCCAGTTGTCCCTTCAGCCACCGTGTTGCGCGCGGCTTGTTTACGCGGAGATGGATGCACGTAGCGCAGTATAGAGGCGCACAGGACGTCGGGAATGTTATCTCTTTCTCCTAATCCGCAGATTTTGGCAAGTCATTTCCTCAGGCTGGGGAGAGTGGTGGCGTAGTGGTTAGTACAGCTGGGGCCCTGGGTTCAATTCTGGACCTGGGGTGCTGTCTGTGAGGAGTTTGCATGTTCTCCCCGTGTTTGTGTGGGAGTCCTCCCACAGTCCAAAGACCTCCAGGTAGGTGAACTGGATTCTGGGAAAACTGGCTCTGGTGTGTGGTGGACTGGCATCCTGTCCAGGGTGTATCCCACCTTGTGCCCATTACTTGCCGGGACAGGCTGCAGCTCCAGCACTCCCCTATAATGGGTAAAGAGGTTAGTAAATGGATGGATAGATCTTCTAAGTCTGATGTTCACCTTTAAAATCACACTTTGCCTGTGTTTTGAGTCATCTGTTTTGGGAACTACAGCCACAGTGTTTATAACAGTATCTGAAAAACTGCAGGCAGACAGAACGCCTAGAAAGTGCCTCAGTGCAATGGCTGGATATAGAAAAGAAAATCGTCAATCGTCTAAGAACACATTGAATATAATAAGACCATATGTCGTGCAAAGAAAATAGAGCATTTTCATCGTTTGCACAATATACAGTTTTGCTTACTTGCTTTTGACCATAAATAATTGTTCATTCCTAAATTTGGCATTTTTTTTAATATTCCTGTTTATATAAAGGATGACAGCTTAGATTGTTGAACAAACTTCTCCCTTGTTGATTTATAGGGAGATTTAAAGACATTTGTGTAAATAAGGGACAGTTATTGATTGTCCTTAGATTCGTTTGTCTGATTTTGATCGGAAACGAGCTAATTGGAAACAGTGTCCCTTACTCAAATTCAATCTTTTAGGCTAACTAGCCAGAACGGAGAAAATCCATTTTTTTTAGTAAATGAACCGTGATTTAAAAATGCTTTACTGAAATGGTGAAAAAACTAAATTTAATTCTAATAAAAGGTCTCTTAACCAAATAAACCCAGCGACCCTGTTTATGTACAGAGGTATTGGAAAGTATGCTCCTGTGTCATGGCCCTGGGCTGTCATGCACATTTGTTGGTTGCTAATCCGCACACAGTTGTCCCAAAGTGGCTGAATTTAGAGCATGTTATTTGAACAGGAGAAACTCTGTTGACAAATTTCATTTGGGGGACGAAATGCACTTTTTCCTAACAAAAGGCTCATAATACCGGTCTTCAACACTGTCGAGACACGCACAACTCAGATCTATTTTTATCTTGTTGTGCGACACCATTGGTAAAACCTATCCACTCAAAATGTGAATGATAAACATTTCTGATTATGAGGAAAGTTATTTTATCTCTCAAAAAGTCTTCTATTGTGTGCTATGTTTTATCTTTATGCAATTAAAATATCAGTCAGATTTTTCTCCACAAATCAGGGAGTTCCAAGTAAAGTTTATATGATGGAACCCTATATATAATACAATATTTTTTAAATAAACCCTATAATGGACTATTAAAACAAGATTGAAGATATCTATAATATGGAGAAAAAGAACTCATACATTCAGGAGCATTTAAAGCTTATGCATGGTAACAACTACAATTGTATGGCTAAGAAAGCAGAGGCTTGATGTGGCTAATACAGTTGTGGTGCTTTACCACTGAGCTTCGGGTTCTCAGAGCTACTCTGAGCACATTGAGAAAGGGAGTCTTGATAATTCACACTGTGGAATAACTCGCTGGTCTTTGCTGCCCCCCACAGTCACCCAAAAAGGCCAAGAAGAGGGCAGAGGGAGCAAACTCCAATGTATTCTCCATGTTTGAACAGGCCCAGATCCAGGAATTCAAGGAAGTGAGTGTCTGCCCGTCCATAAAGCTCCAGCTCAAGGGATATTTACAGACTTCTTGGTTTCCCAAGTTGTTCTGCTTAATACATCCGGCAATCGCCTCGGTTAACTATTTATTGGCTATCAATAATCAGCCAATAATTAATTAGTCAATAATTAATCATTAAATAATCAAGGATGCAGCTCTTTCACCTTTCAGCAATACTTCTCAATGGGACATACATTGCCTGTAGGAACTTTTCAAAAGCTTCTCAAATAGCTTCTACGTGAAACATTTTCAGGTTTTAGGATTTAAAAGGTGGAATCCTGGGAAGGAAAGCGCTGGAGAGGAGAAGAGTGAAATATGTATTCTATTATATCTATATATAGATCTGCTTTTTAGCTGGATGTTATTTGTGGGTAAGAAAATGTGGGGAAAATGTGTTTGCATGAGAGCTAAACACCTTAAAATCTGTTCTGCAATATAATTAAAGAGCCATAAAGTTCAAATAGTCCCTCTAATATCAGGCAGCCACAGTTGACCCATAAGGAAAATAACTATTGTGCATACATCATTAAAGACAGAACAGTGCACTGCTAAACAGGAGTTAGGGTTACACAGAGGGTAAAACAGGCTATAATTCCTGAGTTTACCATAACATCTCCGGTATGGCTGTTTGTCGGTGGGAGATTTAAAAGAACACTAAATATTAACAAAAAGAAAGAGTTAAACTGGCTTTCCTCAGTCCCCCCTCGACCTACAGAGACAGTGATGTCCACACAGAGGGCTGTTGGACAGTGTGTGGAAATTCTTGGACAAGTTTAGTTACTGCCTCCTCATGCCAGAAACGTGCTGTCACTGACTAGCTGTGCCCCCCCGGTAGGCTTTCACCATCATGGATCAGAACCGAGACGGGTTCATCGACAAGAACGACCTGAGAGACACCTTCGCAGCTCTGGGTGGGTCCGACTGCCGCCCTTGTGCGATCGCCCGCCCCGCCCCGCCCCGCCCGAGCCTGACGGGGCTCAACTGTGCTTTCTGTCCCTACTTTAGGGCGGTTGAACGTGAAACAAGAGGAGATTGACGAGATGCTGAAAGAGGCCCCCGGCCCAATCAACTTCACTGTCTTCTTAACCATGTTCGGCGAGAAGCTAAAAGGTAAGGAGGGAGTGGCGCACACACACACACGGATCGGCCAATTTGGTCATGGTGGAAAGAAAAAGCCCGGAAAATCTGACCAAAACGACTTTCATTCATCACAGACACCACTCAGAGTGTCTAATTACATTTAATAGAGTTCTTTTGCCGTGTTGTTCTGCACCGGAATAGAGACATTGCAGGAAAATGCCTCCAGCTTTAAAATACTTTAACATCCAGTGCTGAAAAGCTCATCGTAGAATGTATGACACAAAAATAAGAATTAAAACCAGATACATGCATCAACGACGATGCGAATAAACTTTACACAAGTGCATGGAAATGAAAAAAAAAAGTGGAGCCTCCTGAAACATTTAACTTCACGCCTGAGAGCTGACAGAATTGATTGTTATCGCCGAAATGGACTTCTGGAGTTTTGCTTATCATCCTTCTCCCAGATGTTACACATACAAACAAAACATCAGTGCAGTCATATGATACATGTACAAACGTGGTTCAAAATGACAAGCCAGATGAGTCAATGTCGGCCTTGTAGGTGCTGACCCTGAGGAGACCATTCTGAACGCATTCAAAGTGTTTGACCCGGAAGGCAAAGGAATTCTGAAGAAGGATTAGTAAGTACCACTCTCCATTGCACTATTTTGAATGGGCTCTTCATTCACATTGAATCACAATATACTGCTCTCTGTTTTCAGCGTTACAGAAATGTTGACGACTCAAGCTGACAGATTCTCCCCCGAAGAGGTAGGTTTTCAAGAACATCTGCTCTCTACCAAACCTCAGTCTCTTAGTCATGGACAGTAGCAAAAGTGTCTGTCAGAAATCACAGCTCCCACATTCATACAAGAAGTAAAACACCTGGGCAGTAGTCCAGAAACTGGAATCATGATTATAATGCTTAGGTGTTTGAGGTACAGGGATTTACTGCTGTCCTTTGAAGACAAGACCAAACTGGAGCTGAGGAGTTCCAGTGACTTGAATAACTTTTTCATGAGCATTTCTTCACAAAACCAAACAGAAGTATTGTATCCTCTTTCTTGTCACATTAAAAAGGTGTGTGTAAAACACATTCTCAAGAGTAGTGGTGAAGCTTTAGCTGAAATGTGAAGGCACTATTTGTCTTTCATTATTAGGTAGGGAGGTGCTGGTTTTCCAAAGTCTTTTTACCAGTTCTGCTCTCTCCCTCTGCTCCCACTTCTAGATGGAACAGATGTTCACTGCCTTCCCCCCAGATGTGTCCGGAAATCTCGACTACAAGAACTTGGTTTACATCATCACACACGGCGAGGACAAGGATCAGGAGTAGTTATGGTTATATCGGTTAAGTCCCCCCCCTAACACATGATCTGCCCCCTCTCTCACCACATCCCACTTTGTCTTGCTTAGATGGCCGAACCCTGTTTAGTCAGCTCAGTGGTACAGTATGTCCTGCCACAAGCAGCGCAGCACAAAATAGACAGAATAGTGCAGGAAGTGACCCTTCATCTCCTCCACACACTGTGTTTACATTTCAGACCTTATACGTGTTCATCATTTTTATTTCTTGTTTTGCTGCCTTTTATTTTCAATAAAAATATCACCCGTGGCCGACAATTCACCTATAAACTTGTACAATAAATGATCTCAGCACTGTTCTTGAGAGGTCTTGCTGCTGACTTTTTTTTACTGTTCTGGTAACCGCCCCACAGGCTCATTCTGGTATGCTGGTATGAAAAAGTCCTTTCTCAATTAACTCAAAATATTACCAACAAAACAATTTTATTAAGGTATTCACACTCCTAGATGTTTGAGTATGTTAGACACTCAGATATGTAGCCACTTTGCATAGCTTAAGGTGTTTGTTTATTGTGTTTGTTATTAAAAAAGGTTACTCTGGGTTGTTTTATTGACATGTTTAAGGAGTTACAAAATTCGTAGTTAACACAAACATTACAGTAGCATGTTAGAAATGTAATATGTTGTCTGTGACAACATTGAAAGGTTTAATAAGATCCTCCTGGGGGTTCCAGATTGTTTTGTACAAAGTTGCAAACTTTTTCGTTTCGTGATGTTATATTTTTAACTGAGCTGCGGCTCAAATCCTGACCTGTGCCTATTGACTCTAGTTCCAGGCAACCCTTGATTTCACCCAGAAATTAACTGCTGAGTTCTCCATCTTCAAAATGAGGAAAAGCTCAGTTCACCAAGTGCAAAATCAGGCAATCAGATTTCTCTTTCACTTGACTGCCCCTCTCAGCTCAAGCTGTGCCACTCCACATAGAAGAAGTTTACAACGATGCAATCATGTGCAAAAGGATACCAGCAGTACACTAGAGCAGCTCTTGTGCTCTCAATGTACTTAGAAATATGTAGAAACCAGAATAATCCCTAAGAACTGAAGCTTGTTAACTCGTACAGTACTGGGCTGTACTAATGCTCTGGTCAACACATTGCCTGCTTCCTTTAGCTTCGACCCACTGGGAAAATGAAACCTTTACTTTTTTTGACTCCGTCAATTAAAAAGCCTACTGACTCACATAAGGCGGCAGCAGCCTTCGGGGATTCTTTAGGTACAAGTCCTGATTAGCATGTACCGCACAGCAGCCCCTGACACGAGCTCCCCGTGCTGCATGGACTGGATGATTGAAGTGCTGAGAGCCCAGCGAACTGTTGCACAGTGAGGAGAATGCAAGGGGCTTCCTGATTCATCCCTCACTAATTATACAGTGTGCGTTCATGTCAGCGGGACCCAGCTGTCAATTTGTATGTCGGCAAATCTGCACTGCAAGAATACACTTCTGTTTATGAGAATCTACGAGGAATTGTTAATCATCTCATTTATGGGTTTCAAGGCTCACGGCACTGATTCTCCCCAGTCCTGGAAGGTTAGTAAGCCAGCTGATTGTGTTCTTCAGTGTTCGGTCGTGCACTCTAATTGTTTGCCCTTTAAGAAAAAATAAAGAGCAGCCAACACACGCTTATCTGATGTGCTTTACAGTCAAGGGCAGTCAAGGGATGCCTTTTTCTTCATTTAAATGCAACACATTTCAGTATGTGAGATTGCATGATGCATATTATTAACCCCAGAGATAAAACAGTGCAGTAGTCACTTTTGCATGGAACAGAAAGGAGACCTTTCCCTGTACGAAATGTATTTTAAAAACATGAATGTGTACTGACAATAAATTACAGGGACAATCAAGACGTGTTTAACTTGCTAAGCGTATTTTTCAGAATGCATATTTTTGTCTAGCTACTTTTTTTCACTGTTCGACTTGCTGCCAGGAGTATTTGCTTTTCTTCCGTTTGGAAATATATCTCTGTGACAAGGGTTTGCAAATGATAAAAGTGAAACGAACTTCCTTTCAAAATAAAATTCAGTCTGAAGCACAGTTATAACTAGATGGCCTGTACACACAGATTCTCAGCTGCATCTAGTGACAGTCAAGCAACAGACAACCCACTATGACTAGAGCTTGTCTTTCTTTTATTGAACAGCTGGAGGTGTTGGGGGGGATTTCTGGGCTCTGGCTTCACCTCTCAGGTGGTTTTGACCACAGTGGACAGCTTCTTCTTTTCCCGGTGGGTCCTGCAATCGGCCTTGGACAGCTCGCAGCGTTTCGCCAGCTCCTCTGAGGCCATCACCTTGGGAAGCACCTTCTCTCGTAGGCTCCTAATATCCAGAGGCTTGCCGTCATCTGAAAAGAGTGACAGATCAGCCTATAGGTATGAAGGGCAAAGAACAGTGGGATAGCTGAGATCTTCACCTCCCACCACTAACTGATGAGCCACATCTGCAGTGCACATCTGGCTGAGGGCTAGGACTTCACACCTGTGTCATATGAGATGACACTGCATCTGGGTTATCCACATTGACAGTTTGTGAAGATTTGTCTTTAAATGCATTTCCACTTGCATACAGCATGCGTATTGTTCTCAGACAAAATCAAAACTTTCCTCACATAATAGGGCTTCCCCCCTTCAGACACCCGCAAGCTTGGCAGAACAGATCAGGAGCTGGGGATGAATTATTCCATTCAATGGAAAGAAAACATCTGAACAAAACTTACAAATACAAAATGAAACAAACTGTAAACAGGCCTGGTAAGACATAGTATTCACTGCCACGACATGACTCGTCTTGCTGTTTCGGAGGCTGATGTCCAGTCAGTACCTGCCGCCTGCTGCTGTTCGGCCTCGCTCTCCTCAAAGTCAGGTGGCACCTCCGTTTTCACAGGCATCACGGTGGGTATCAGGGCAGAACTGGCCAGAAGGGGGTTGGTGGCAGGCAAGTCCTGCTCCTCTGCATCCTTCAGGTTCAGGTACGATAAGACCATCAGCATTTCATTGACCTTTTGCTCCAGGATACCTGTCGATCAACAGCAACAAACCGACAACATACCTTCAGATGTATTGTATCTGAGTATCCAGTATGCCTGCCAATCAACAGCAATGCATACACTTCAAGGTAAAGGAAATGGCAAAAAATTTGCTATACAAGTATTTTGTAAGATTTCTTTAAGATGGTAAGGTGATTTTTTTCTTAATTTGTCTGGCGGTTTCAATCCCTCTCCTAGGTGTGACACTTGATGAAAGCTGAAGGTCATTGCTTGTTCAACAAATCAGCGATATAAAAATATGAATAAGTTCATCAGTAAGGCCCAGTGTACCGTAAGATCCCTTTGCAGCTATTGTTGATATGGTTCATACTGTACATTACAGCAGACCCTGCAAAGAAACTATGAACTGACAGCTGAATGGTAGTGTTTGTCCTGTTACTCTTCTATAAATACCGGTGTTGACTTGGGGAGAAATGACATTCCCTTCGCTCAGCCTGTTGCACAACAAGAACAGTACATGTCTGGCTCTCTGCACAGGAAGCCTACCAATATACTGGGTGACGTTGGAATAACTGATTCCCTCACTACCGCCCAGTTTCTCCAAGATGGGCAAGGGGTCGCAGTTCATCTTGGTGAAAAGATCTGCGATGCCAGTCTTCAGCTGGTCCAGGGATTTGCAAGTCAACTTATATCGAGACTCCAGGGCATCTGCTTGGCTTCTGGTTGTCTCCAGCTTCACCTGAAATGGAAAAGTAGACAGATGATCAGCACTGAGAGAGTCAGCCTGTATTCAATCCCTTACAGTTCTGTAAACATGCAGACTCTTGCTCCTCAAAATCATCGTAACACAACCTAAAGGATCTAGAGTCTTTAAAACTCTGCATGAAGTGTACCTATGGAGCCTATACTGGCACACAGTGGGCAATACAGGCATGAGATACACTGGTGTGCCAGCATACAGCCTCCTAACCATGTAAAAAATGGGCTCCCACATGGGCAGCTTAAGGGCACTATCCACTCATTCTGTACATGCAAAACCAACAGTAACCCTTATCTGGTGTGGTAGCCTATGACTGTTGAAAAATGAAATCGATAAATTTATTACTACTAATTCAACATTTGGAGATCCGGTCAAAAAGACTGCAATATTTCTGTGAAGTAATTAAACATCTTTAATATGGTCTGTCACTGAGCTCTATTTTTTATGGAGTGAGAAGAAAAGGTTGCGGAGCCCGACACCACAGAGCACACAACTTCATGATTAATTGGACTGCCCGTCAGGCCCATCTTATTTTCTGATCTATGAAAATATTCCACCAATCGCAGTGGGCAGATTTCGCAAGGTCACAAATGACTGCTGCAATTCCCACCTGCTCTCTACCCACTACATCAATCGTCATACACAACGGTCGTCAGGTCAGCGATCGACAGAATCATTCAAATACCCTTTTACCTCATAGGAAAGAATTTAATTTAGTTTGTTTTCTTACTGTGCTGTTTAATTTTTCATGTTGTAAAAGATTCCCCGGTACAGAGTGTGAGAGGTCCTGAGATTGCTTCTCCTGTGTTGTGAAGAGAGAGTAGAATTCCCCCTTCCTATTTACACAATATACAGTGAAACTGATGACGTAATACTACAATATCATGACAGTAAGTTTTCTAATTTTTTCTATCCTTTATATTTGTAGGAACAAACACTCAGTCCTCCCAGGACCTGTCTTGCACTAACAGTGCAATAACACGTTACTGCTTGATGAATAGTGTGACTGTCACTGATTGATGGGATTGATGGGATTCCTTAGAGCTTAGATCTTTTTGTTTCTTTCTGTGAGTGTGGATGTCTTGCAGCAGCAGCCCCCTAAAGATATGTGCCTGTTCTGCAAGATTGCAGAGCCAATGGTGAAAACCTGGTAAACCAGGTACTGTTTATGATCTGAAATGAATGCTGTGATGACTTCAAATACAGTCCATCAGTAGAAGACCACGCTGCTGTGCTGTAGTGTGGCTTGAGTGCCAAAGCTCTGTTTCCATTACCTCTAGCTCCTTTAATGAAGCGTTCCTCTGTTCCTCATGGTGTCTGTCCTCCAACTGGAACTGGAGAATCTCATTCTGGAGAAAGTTGGCAAACAAAATGACAGCAAATTCCGTAGAACCCTCAGTGAACTGGTCCTGCCGCAGGAATGAATGTTTATTGAAAGTGACTAAAGGCATGGGCCGCAGCTGGACAAGAGGCAGATGATGGCATTATTAGTGGTCCTGACCCTTCGCCTTACACATGGACCAAGAAGAGGGGATGTCTGTAAGTAGGGCTAAACCAGGCAGCTGATGGACACCATTATGACCCAGATTGACTACAGATACAGTATCTGCGACATGCAAATTTTACCAGAAATACTTGAAATATGGTCTAAGTGCACATTCTGTTCTTGTATGCCATATTCCTGCTGCAACCGATTTCTTCCTATCTGATTGCACACTCTTCGAAGGGCTGCGGGCACTGGCCACCCTCCCTTCTATCAGCAGTCCTCAAGGTTGGCCTCAGATGACAGAACGTTCTCAGAATCTCTGTCCCAGGCTCCTTTTTTATAGGAGCTCTATATTTAGTCCAGCCGATGTGCTACATTTTACTACTGCTTGCCTTGAATTCTCTTTACCATCCTGGCCCCAGAAAAGGCATTTGGTAGCTTGCATAAATTTCAGCATACAAAGTACATGTTTCTTTTCAAATATTTGTTCTAACATCCGCGCATTTTTTGCCAAAACAAATCACAAGAGGCTTGGAAAATACATGTCATGGGGATATGAGCAAAGTAGGATATGAAAACGTCTAATTTTAAATGATAGAATTCACAATCAGTTGAGACTTTTTTAAAGGGTACTTTCTTGTAACAAAGTCACTGCATTCCATATTTTGAATTCCTTGTAACTGGGGTAAAGTAAATCAATTTTATAATCACACAAAAGTAATGAAATAAATTGCACTTGTTGCTGTCATCTATATCATTATCCATGTCTACATTCAAATGTTTGCTGCTTTTTTTTTAAAAAAAGGACTGTCCACTGTTCTGGAAGGACAGCCTTTGTGTTTGCAAGAGCATACTCACCTTCATCCTGTTAATCTTCAGCTCCAGCATCTCCGCCTCATTATTGAGCTCGTTGATGTAGTTGAAATACGCAAAGTTCTTTTCCTCGTTCTCCACAAACTTCCTCCCTATCTCCTTGAGGTTGTCCTCTCCTGCCAGCTCCACCATCCGCCTGTGAACGGCCTGGTAGGTCTCCAGGCTTTCTGCACCTGTCCTCTCCTGCAGGGCCTGCTCAGCATCTGCAGTGCATGGAGCAGAGTGAGGCACCAGCACACTAGTCGCTGCAGGGGTACCTAATTTTACAGGCACAGCTACCGTCAGGGGGACGGTGAAGCCCCAGACACTGCGGTGGTTTTTGTTAATTTAGCCTTTAACACTAGCTGTAGGCCTCTTTCTTCTTTATTACTTGGGGAGAAGACTTTCACTGCACTACGTCATGGAACCAGGGTTAATGTCACCTCGCTCACCCCTGCTTTCACAGGGAGGGAGGCCAGTCCTGAGTCTATCAGGGCAATTCTCTTCGCATCTGAATCCTCCCTCTGGGGGGTTTTTTATTCACGATGAAATTAAAGTTGGTTTTGAATCGATGTTTTGCAATGAAACGAGTCAAACAGATGGCGCGGACAGACAAGGAGATGCTGGGGTGGATTTCCATATG